ATGGATTTATACCGATAAGATTGATAAATTAGAGATAGATTTTGTTAGGACAGCAGGTCCACAGCTATTACAGCTGCCAATTAATCAACCTGCTTAAACAAATAAATGAACTTCAACCTCAAAGCTAACTTCAACTTCAACTATTTCTTGCAATAAAAATTTTCTGCTTGGAATATATCCAACTCACAGCCGGCTTCGCTCTCTTTAACAAGACTATGGACGACGATCCTCTGTGGAATGGGGAGAGGGTATGGCCCAAACTGCGCAGCCTCTTTACCCACAACTCTTTGCGGGTAGCCTGAGCCAAATGTCACAATGGAGGACGAAATGAGCTTGTAGTGGTAGAATTTAGATACTTTCCTTTCCTTTGCGATTGACGATCACACACTTCGTCGTTTGTTTTTGAAACTGTCGATGCAATAAGAAATAATCGCCGTGTTTCCCGGCTCGGGATTTTGGGGCGCAATTGGACGCATAGCTAGTAAACACATCAAGGTAGTAACGGGGACTCGCTCGTCGAAAAGTCGTCCCAAGATTTCAAACTGCAAAGTGGAAGAAGAAAGAATGAATGCCTCGGAAAATGAAAGCGATCAGGAGGAAATGGATACAAAAGAAGGTATGTTGTATGAAGGCAATTCAATTCCTCGCTTAGAATTCCTCTCCGGTTACATTTTGCTCATCACGGAAGCTACATTATAGTTCTAGGTAGCGTAACTTGTGTTGAATTCAAACGTTTTGCTCACGCGTTTTCCGTTAGATGCCGGTGGAGATTCTACAGTGCCAAATGGACTTTCTTCTCCGAGTGAACCGCAGGATGTTGTGATGGAAGAGGACACGGCGAGACCTGAAGGAACAATTCGTTTCACTGTGCTCAATTTTAGCAAACTAGACAAGACAACTCTTAGTGACCCCATATACGTGAGGAATTTACCATGGTAAGGCATCAAAATTTATCAGCTGTGAGGGAAATTTGAATTTATGGCTTAATTAATTATCGGTTGATCGTTGAGGATTTAGAGTTCTTTAATTTACTGAGATACAATGGCTCAGAGGTCTAAAGTTTTATCCCGCAATCGGTTAAGTTATATGAATTATTCATTGAACCCTTATATTTAGCTGTTGTATGGTTGTTATTAATCTGATTGTTACATTTAACTGGTAATTTCTCATCCACGAAAATTTTTTCTCTTTATCTTGCCTTTGTGAGAATGGAAACTGTACTTCTATTTACAGTTGCAATGTTTTGATGTTTACTCTCTTTCCTTGCCGCAACTTGGATGTGTTAAGCAGCTTATTCTAGTTTGTTTACGATCAAATGCTTTGGGTTGGTTGAAGTGAGGTGATGAAAATGGCTTTGCTTTAGACAATCAGTAAAACTTTTGTTCAAGTTTTGGCAGTCAGGATTGCTTAAAGCATTTCTTCTTTAAAACTTTGCTTAGATGGTGACTACGCAAATTTAATATTGGTTGTCATTTTGCTTAAAAATGCACATCTGCAGTTGTATTATCTACACCTAACATTTGGGGTTCTTAATTTGAATTTTTTCCCCTATTTCCTATGCTAGATTTCCTTATCATCACTATGGACTCCAAGTTT